GGTCCGGAGGATTTCTCCGACTCCTGAGTTAAATTGAATGTGACGTTTCTTTCGATGGCTACGTCACCAATTGTCCGAACCTCAACCTATTTGGCCTCGACTGGATCGAGAAACTCGGTCTCCTGGACTTTCCACTTAACTGCATTTGCAATAGTGCACTATCAACCAGGCCAAGTCCTGCCAAATTAAATCAGCCGGCGGCAAAGCTGATCTCGACTCTAAAGGATTAATTCCTCTCTGCTTCGCCTCAGTCCTCTAGACGACCAGGACGGAGAAGAACGCAAACGGTTCCGTTGCAGGTGAACAAGCGTCTAAAATTCTACGATTCATCTCAAACAGGGTGTGTTAGGATTATTTCTAACAAGCGGTCCGAGTGAAATCTCAGGTCACGTTATCGGCCCGCCCACAGACAAAGGCGTGCGCGGTATGCGCGCGCCTCGAGGTCCCACAAACTGGCTAGGACAAAGGGGTGCGCCTAGTGGGGCGCGCGTGTGATGGTCAATCAAGCCTCTAGGAGCATGAAGACACAACCTGATTGGCCCATCTATCACTTTGCTTAACATATAGCCCCCACTCGAGGGGCAATAAACGACTTCCTTTCCTTATGACCTTGTTCGTTGTTCTTCTTGCTGAACTGACACAAAGAGACTGGGGCGGCACAAATCTAGCTTGGGGACCCATTAAAACATTAATAACTGCATTGTGTAAGGGTCCTTGTAAGCAACACCGTAGTTAACTATAAAATAATTAACTTAACTAAAAATAAAATAAACTAAAGTACACTAGACTAACTAAAACTAAATTAAACCAAACCAAACTAAAACAAAACTAGAACTAGATACTAAATTAATACCTACACTCAACGATATATGAAACTACAACGAGATAAGTAATTAGTTATATTATAGTAAACTACGTTGTTGCTTATAAGACCGCCTTGTCTTGATTGTTTGTGCACCTATTTTAAGATGAGTGAAGGTAAATAAGAGCAAGTAAACTAAAATAACCTGAGACAGTCTCTCAGAACACTCAATTTAGATCTGAACTTTGGACTGACGGAATACGTATTGCTGTCCACTTTACTTTTCTTACTGCGTTCATAGTAATGCTTCCGTTCATGAACAAAATATCTATTCATTGCCTATCCAAGCAATAATTAAGGTAATCATCCACACCGACAGTTTGACCATCGCGAACGATGATGTTCTTCATGTGCACCACAATGTCGCCGGCGCAAGGACGTTGACTTTGGTGTGGAGTAGGTTATAGTGATAGTCGACTTGCGATGCATCTACCACACTCCCTCTCTTTTCTTACCCACCTGAACCCAATACTAATACAAAAATCAAGAATACTAGAGATAGGATAAGGCACAGGGGCTGAGGAGGCTAACCACCCCGTCTACGCATGCCACACACACGCCTGGCTCGCCCCGATGGATCAAGTTTTCATGTAAGCAGAAAAGATGCGGTCTGCTTTACAAGTGAGTGACAATTCCATAGAGGCTTAATAAAGCGAGCCATAGCAGCCTAACTCTGCCTTGCGAGAGGATCACGCAGTTAGCCCGTCATTTAGTAGCCTTCCGATCCGTGGCTAGTAGCGCACAGTGACAGTTTAACAGTGCTTCAGGTAGTTTATAGGGACCAAGTATACGCTCAGAACTGTAAAGCTCACTTCCTCTTCCCTCGCCAGTTTGCTGTCCAATTCGATCAGCCGGCTGATATGGGAGAGGGATGCAGGTGGCTGGCGCGACGTGGGACTTCGCCTAGGCGTAACAGCACACACCTTAGTCCGATTAATGCGCAACTCACCACGACTGCCACTCCGCCAGCACTGCTACTGTAAGTACTGCTGTTATCCCCATTAGGACTGCACTCGGCTGAGACAATGCCCTCGAAGTCTACTGATTCGCATCCGCGGCCTACCATATTTCTTAAAAGTCATTAATGTAGAAAGTGATCGTATCAGTTTTGATGTTCGTGCCAACTGGAACAGAAACGGGAACATTTACATTCGCGACACATTACTGCATTTACTACTCACGCAGACAATCGAGCTGACGGCGAAAGCGGACAAATTAAGTTGTCGCGTTCTCAGGCTTTTACGCTCGGAAGCACAACATAGATCATGAGTTGGGGGCGAGGTGCCGTGAGCAGGAACGTCCATCTCCTGGAGTTTAGACTGCATCTCCTTTAGCATACGTTTGATTTCCTCAATGTCATCGGAAGTCGACTGTAAGAAAGAGGCTTGTAGAAGGGCTGCCTGAGCATCGGAGCCTCGCACCGCACCATTCATATGTGCTGGTACGATTGCTCCCATAGTTCTTCTTTCACCAAAAACACTGCTCTCCTGATGGGAGGCTTTCGTGGCGACCGAAGAGGACCCGC